CACATGGAAAGATTTGAAGAGGTATGGCGTGGCCCGGCCACTGAGATTTGCAACGAAGCCCTTGATGAGGTGCTGGACGGAAAACCTGGGAGTGCCATCAAAGGTATGTACCTTTGAATCTCTTTTGAGTTGATGGTTTCTTTGTGGAAAAAGTCATCATGCAGGTTTGTAATTGAGCTGGATACATATTGGACCATGTGTTAATCTAACATGTCTTAAATCTTAACCTTTTTCTGAATTGTGTCTTAATAAGTGCTTCGGAGCGTGACATCTGTCACGCATCCGAAGAACTCTGCTTCCCGTCTGGAGGATTCACCGAAATTCTTCGACAGGTCACAAGACCATCAACAAGTTCGGTCCAAATTCCTTCCGCAAACTTCGCAGCCAAGCAAGGCTAAAGGGCCTTAGTGTGGTTTTTACAAAAACCAAGCCCATCACCCATACAAATCCAAAAGCGAGCACCTTATTTCAGCGCGGTTGTTCACCGAGCTTTCACCCTCTCTGGGACTTCGACGGATCCTCACCTGAGCCGAGAAACACCGGCGAAGACGACAAAAACCGGGACCGGTCTGGCCGGTCTGGCCTGAGGCGTCCATCGCGGAGGGCCGGCACCAGCGTTGGTGCAACGCACCATCGAGAGTGTCAGAACAAATTGTATTATAATACTTGTTGTTTTTGTGCTAGATGGAAAGCTGAAAGATGTTCACAAATGTTCCAGGCATGTGCACATCCTTGTCACGTCTCGAGTTTGTCACGTCTCTGCCAATCATTCCTCAATTATTGAGTCCATGGGCGAAGACAACAGGGATTCCGCAAAACCGCAAAGAGATTGTCGATTGTTGTAGTAGACGTTACCTCTTGCTTGCCACCTCCAAGGAAAGCACATTGAAGATCCGTAAAGCTAGCACAAGATGGAGGAGAAGCACTTGAGTCAGGCATGTCCGGAGACAAGGAACATCGAAACCTGGTGCAAAATCTGAAGAGTGGTAGCATGTCGTGGCAGGTTGTGAACCCTCCCATGACTCTGCATAATTATGCACACTTTCTGGACCTTGGACTCCACAGTTCTTGCCAAATCGTTGGCTCAAACAAGGACATGTTGCCTTGGAGCTCAACACTTCGGCGTCTCCACGAACTACAGTTCTCAACGTCACTGACTGGTCGTCCAGGCGGCGTCTTAGACGCGTGAATTCCCCAGCGGAGATATGCGTTACGCGTTGTGTTCATTCAGTGTCAGAATTCAACCAAATAACGGATGTCAATGTCTAAAGCTTGGAAGGATGTTTGCAGGGTAACAGAAAATTGCTGAAAGTCAGCAAAAGGTATACTGTAAAGGAAAGCTGCCTCTGGTGAACAGCTTTTGCTTCTCACTTGTCATCCAAGCCTGGTATGGATTCATCTGTGAAAACAGTTTGTGTATGTCCTGCCGTACGACCAAACAAGGACTATCATGTGAGCTCATGCTTTTCATGAATGTGTGCTTTCCACTTACTTCACGAGCTACAAACATTCTGAGCGCTCAAGTGACAGTAATTAAATCACAATGGCCAGGCTCTCCATCTCTGTCTCTGTCTCCCTCTCTCTCTCTCTCTCTCTCGCTCGGAGCCCCACATGGATAGCGAGAAAGGCAGCAACGCTAAAAGGGCCGAAGCTGGTGACAGCCGAATAGCGCCCGCATCAACTTAGAGTTCAGAATGTTCCAAAATGTCTTCAGAACAGAGCCCAAACTCGTGAGAATCGCCCCCACGTACGTGTGACATGTCGGACATGTGTGAAATTGACTCTGATCATTCTGAGGAACCATCTCCAAATTCGGTGGTTTTCATCAGGACACAGTGGTTCGGAAGAAACATCTCAGCTCGTGGCCGACCCCAGATCCACCCCAGGGCCCATAGTCAGGCCTCATTCGCTTCCATCAACGGTTCACGCCGACGCGTCTCACGCGACAAGCACGTCTCAAGCGCCCCCACCCCCCCCTCACGCGACGCGCCTGTAGCTGGTGGATGGAGGGTTGAACCTGCGACATGTAACAGTGTCAAACATGTGGTCCAGTCTTTTTTAGTCAAGAGGAACCATAGTCCGTAGAACCACAGAAAAGCTAGGTCTATGAACGGAGTTATCAGCTAGGCTGTATGGTATCTTGTCTTTGCTACTTCTGGGCGACTTCTGTGTGAAAATTCCCCTTACTTGCGCCCTGGCGGCAACATTTTTCATTTGAGTGTGGCAATGAAATGAATAGGTGCGATCTATCAAGGCTTTTCGTATATAAAGTTAATAAAAAACATTGTTTCATAAACAGCTATATAACATGTTTTAGTCCACCTTGTTATTTTGCTGCCAGAATGTGGCCACAAGTTTTTGTTTACAAATGAGTGTGGCCTTTATCCAAGAAGCCTGTTGGCCTCCCTCCTTTGAAGACCTGTCTTCTATGTAAAATGACCTATCTCTTCTTGCAAAAACTTTGATTTATGCATATTTATGCACTCCAGATAGGTAGCACATGTTGTGTTTATAGAATGACCTGAGTCAGGCCATTTTATGAGGGAAACACATGTTCATGTTATAAGCAAACAAGTCTGGAGGATGTGTGAAACATCGTCTTCTGTCCGCGCTTGCACGAATATCATCTCCGCCCGAAAACGAACACCACTTCCAAAAACTATCGTGCCACCAATCTATAAATAGAAACCCTGGCTTCAAGTCGCTGTTTGCGTCTGCCTTCGCATCTGAGTCTTAGGTCCCCGCTCCACGACATTGTTGGGATCACAGTTCCTTGCCATGTTGTTCCAATGAAAGTGCTCCTGCGCCGGTCCACGCACTCGGTCGAACGGACGGATCGGGCGGAGGCCGAAGGATGTGGCCTTGTAATTGTTGTAGCAGTCATAACCTCAGCCGTCCACAGGCAACTAAGCTGGCAGTTTCGGCAAAAAAAAATGAGAAGGCTGTTTAGATGATGTGACAATGGAGGCCGGAGGTTGTGCTACTCTCATCTCGACCGAACCTTCCACACCTGTTCCTGCAGAAACCACAGGAAACCAGCAGCTCCTGCCGTCGAATCTGCCGTCGACCCACCCACGGTTCCCATGTTCTCACCGAGCCGCCAAGACTTTGATATCGCTTTTGGCAGGCAGCACTGCACCTGAGTCCACCCTCCACCCAGTCACGCAGAAAACAGCGAACGACGTGCTATAGACTGCTATACTTCGTGACGAAGAAAACGGGTCAAACACACACCACGTGTGCTCACCGCGTGGCCGTGACGTCGACACCATGCGCTCTGAGGTCAAGTCGGGTAGTTGGATCTTCCTCCAAAGCCTTCCAGCAAGCAGGGCCTCAGGACTCGATGTGACCCGGTTGACTCAGTCAACGCGAATTACTACGCGAATGATGTCGTCTGGCGATCTCACACCGTCCTTCGGTTTGAACTATGAAGCTTCTGAATCCGTCCAACTCGACATGAGAAAGATACCTGATCATGAGATACCTGACATGGGCCAGGCATGGCCAGGCTGAGTTTGATGAATCTTCTCAAAGAGTTGGCAACTGCCAACTTCCTGGGCCATGAAAGGGCGAGTCTAGGCAGCTGGACGCCATAGGCTGCAAGGAGCAGCAGTACATGTTCTCAGGATCTGCCTCACAGTCCACCTGAGGACAGCTCTGGTTGGACCTAACGAATGACTTCCTGGACCTTCAAAGGGGTGTTCAACGGAGATCCGCAGGTAGTGCAGGCTAGTCCATTGGAGACCCCATTCAGTTGCGGTTCTACATGTTCTACTGTCTGAGGCATGCACAGTCTGCTGGGCTGAGCACAGGGACCAAGAAAGAGCCTCACAGTTCGTTCGAAACTTTGAGTTGCTTCGGAAAAAAAAAAAAGAAAACTCTCGGGCACCCAGTGTTTTTGTTCACTTATTCTCATGCTCCAATGAACTTGCTGGGGTGTCCGGGCCCAAAAACCAGCGAAGCGAGCGAAGCGCGAGGCCAAGGAAGTCATGACCTGTGCAACACCCAGAGAATCGAGCGACAGTGGGTGTTATGGCGAAGCAGTCACCAAAACATAAGTCTTCCTCTGTCTTTCGGAGCAATCTTACCCCAACAAACTGGCTTCCCGGAATTGTTTTTGTCAAGATGTATCAGGTTGATAATAAGACTCAAAGGCAAAGCTCATTCAGAACGTGCCAGCCAATATCACGTTTCGGCGAAACCGATGCATCTGACGGGTTTCGGCCAAACTCGATTCAGCATGACAAACACTGAATGCCTTCAGCCACTGCCGGGTTTGACTGTGGCTTGCGCGTTGCAGTGTGATCAAGTAGTCAAGACTGGCGGTACCGAGTGTGATCGACTGTCAATTGTGATCGACTGTCACTTGTGATCTGCATGTCGCTTGAAAAGACACTGCTCTCGGAGCGTTTGGTCTCAAGTTTCCCATCTTCACAATACTGGTGAGCTTCTCACTTTTTTGAGCAGCCTGTTTTGGATTTTGGGAGCACTTGATTTTTCGAAAAAAAAAAAACAACGCAGTTCCTTAAGGGGCTCAAGTTGCTACCCACGGACCCATCGCAATGGCCAAAAAATCTGCCTTCGACGCGTGCATCCAGGCGACAAGACCAGTGAACAGTTACTATAGATCCTTTTCATGGGGTCAATGATGGGTCAACGTAAACTTCTACATCTTGGCGAGTCACCCAATATGGTCACCCTATTTAAGTACATGGTCAATCTATTATCTAGGTGATCCATCAAAGTCTTCGTTCGGAACCCCCAAGAAAATCCACTCTAAATCCATGGCTGATCTGGAGACGTGGAGCTTTTCAACCGGACCGCCGAATCCAATTGGTTCGACTCGGACATGATGTCGCCCGGTCCACAGGCGCAGCAGCGCGGCCCCCTTTTTCGGGTCTCGAAAAAATCGGACCAGGTCAACGGACCGGATCATCGGATCAGGCATAAGAATCTCTAGAGAAAAAAAAAAACATGCAAATGATTTCAGCGTTCAGATCTCACTTCTTCAGGAAGTTCCTGCTCAAATTGGTGAACGTATGTGAACGTTGTGAAGCTGATCATGAAGTGAGAATGACAGTCTACATAATAAGTTACATAGGCCCACACACTTTGAATTATATAACCAATATCAAATGTGCCTCTTTGTCTACTATATATATATATATGCATGTAACAGCATGTATTTCAGGATGCCTACGATATTCTTCCAACAGATTCACTTATGTTTACAGACTTGGCTCATCTCTTCCGCCATGTCCTCCAAGAGCCATAGCTGGTGATATCACTCGGTGGATCACCTCCGGCGTTCACCAACCCGGTGCTGTTCGCTCCAACATCCACCTGGCGCAGCAGAGCGAGCAGAGCGAGCAGCTGCGAGCTGCGAAGGCGGACCGGAAGTAACATGGAACAACTACCAGGACACTCCAGACAGGCTGTTTTGGGACCCTAACAGGTGGTTTCTGGGCACCTGTCACCAGGAAGCACCTGCTGGAGGGTCCGGGTATTGATAACAGAACATGACCAAAATTATTAAATCAAGATTAAAACAAAACACATAATCCGATAATCCCATATAATCCTGGGCAGTACTCAAAGATCATCAAAAGCTCCCTGGACTGTCTTGGAAGCTTGCTGTTGGCGAAAGCATCGCCTGTCTGAAGCCCTGCACTCGGCTGCCATCCTGCCGAAAAGCAAAAAACCGAAAACATGACTTTTTAAAAAACTGCGGCGTATGGAGAGTCCCAGGCGTCGTACTGGAGTTCCACCCTTTGAGTCCCAGAGAAGGTGAGTGGATTCCGAACGCACACGTTCTAAGAAAACAAACTCCAAGGGACTTGACACCCCGAGTTGTCCATGGACCGTGCTTCAAAGCGAAAACTCAAAGACGTCATCCGGGACTTCGTTTGGTGTTTCGTGAGAAGAGTCATATCGAGTCGATAGGAATCGACGATATCGAGTCGATAGGTATCCTCTCTTTTCGGGTCCTCGCATGCGTCGAAACCTGTGTGTCTTCCGATGGACAAAACGAAAGTGGCCACGGCTTTCGCCTCCAGTTCGATCCACCCAATGCCCAAGGGTGAGGCCACCAACCTAGCGGGAACGCCCCGACGGGCATGCCTGGTGTCGTCCGGTGTGTTCAAACGACTTGGGCGTTGATTTAGAGCCACATGGTCACAAGTCCCCCCAAAAAGAGCCGAGCTCCATGCAGAACATTCATGAACATTATAGTTGGCGCTGCTACTTCACCATCCATCTCCAAGCACCAGAAAGCACCACTAGTAGGGCGGCCCAGTGGCTTCATGAAGCTCCCAAAAGCCGCAGCTGGAAGCTCCTGGCAGCCCAGCGACGGCCGGAGAACGGTCGACTCACCACGGCACCGGCACGGCACGACACGGCCGAGCTCGGCTCCCAAATCTCCAGCTCAATGCTTGCCTCGCGTGAGGCCGTGAGGCAAACAGGAACGCAGCGCCGGCAGCGCATGTTGGGAGCAAAGCAAAAGTTTTGTTGTACCATATTGAGACAGCTCAACATCACAACAGCAAAGAACAAGTTCCATATGGTTCATTCATCATTTGCCCGCGCTGAGGACTTCACACCACTGCTGGAGTCTACTAAGCCAGGTCGAGGTGGTTTCATGTCAAAAGCCACCAAGCGATACCTGGCGGTCGAGGGTCCCTCATGAGATCAAGATGGACCGTCGCGCAGCTTGCGAACAGTTCGCAGCCACGCTTGCGACGAAAAATCTCAGTCTCCACCCGCCACAAACCAAGAGAGGTTAAGTGACCCTTCAGCCTCTACGTTGGAACCTCCACAATCCTCCACGCGTCCGCGTCGGGCTTGACGGCCGCGTCGTGCGCCGCCTGGGTGCTGTTCTGGCTCGGCGCACGAAGCGGCCGCCGCGCTCCGTGAGCTGCCAACTCAAGGGCAGTCCTGTCGACCGATGCGGCCCACGGGGAACCAGTGAACTGGGAAGCTGTGGCCGGTTGGTTTGGGCCCCAAGTGGTGCATGATAGAACCCCGAAGAGAGGTTGGCCATTTGGGGAATACGTCGTGAGTCTACGTGACATGAAGATTTGGCCCAGCACCCAAATTGAACTACGAATCATGTTCTTTCTGATCCTTTTTTTCTGTGCCAGGCCGCCTGCTGAGCCGTTTGTCCGCCAGCAAGGCGGAGTGAAAACGGGACAGCGAACCGAACCGCGACAGTGTCGTCTTTCTCTCCACGGGCGCGACATCCTGTCGTCGATGGACCGTACGTCCGTTCTTCTGCTGGTCTCAGGTTCGGGGGAGGTGGTTTGGATCACGCAGATGAAACATGAGCAGCATGAGCGAAGAAACGCCGATTGCTGAGCTGGTACAATGTTCTGACAACTGCAAAGATCACGAAGGAAAAGGCTGCTATGCATACAGCTTGGAGCCGCTCATCCTCCAATTGCAACATGAGTTCTTGCAACGCTATTAAGCCAATCATTGAGGGCGTGGCCAGAATGGCCAACAGGACATCTCTCAGCCACTCGGTGCATCTCCAGTACCCCCGAGAACGCAAGCAGCGTGCCAAGAAGAGCCCTACGGTTGCGACAGTTGGAATCCACCAAAGCCAAGCAGAAAGACAGCTGACGGTGTAAACCAGCGCATTGAAGTCTTGCCGAGACCGCCAAAGAAGGCCCAAGTCAGTTAAGGGCCACAAGATTGGCACCGTGGCGCCGAGCATCAATGAATAATCAAACGTATCGCTTCCCATCTGTTGCTTTAGCGCGATGGCGACCACTGACTGTACGGCGTGGTCAAACTCTTCCTCCGAGCCGTACCAGTGCATGATACACTGGCGAACGATTTCTCGATCACAAAGCTGAATTGGCTGCCCGTTGGCGGGGTCCACGTGATTCACACTGCAACACCAGCAATGGCACGTCTGCAGTTGAAATTGCTGCAGCTGCTGATTGGTAGCGTCCAGTGATCTAAAATATCCACGGAAGGCATGAGCAAGGTATAGGGCTTCCATCGCAATCCACAGGAACACGAGCAGCCAGAAGATGTCTGCAAATGGATGGACCACTACAAATGTGCCAATGCCCAACATCGAAACACCAGCAAGGCACACTTGAAAACCCATCATGAGCGGTTTGACCTGCACCATCTCCGGTTTCTCGGAGACAGCTTCTGGATGAGCCTTGAGAAATGCAGCTATCTCGAACATACACCAGAGTCGTTCTACGTAGGATGCCTCCCAAACAACCAAAAGGCACTTGGAAGCCTTCAGCACCGCTCCAATGTTTAGAATGCCTTCGGTCTTCATGCGCTCGTCAAACTGATTGATACACATCCTGTCCACAAAGACTGTGCTGTTAGATCTCCAAATAACAAACGTCACTAGCCACAGGATCAATCCAGCACAAGAACAGCAGCAAGGAAACTGCAGCTCCAAGAAAATGCACGGTATCATCATCAGCAGGGATCCTAAAGTTCCAATTGCGCAGGCGGGTGGGAGGTTGTTCAAGACCATCAAAAGCATGATCTTCTTCCAGCTTTTTACTTGCCAGCTATGACTCAAGAACACATTTAAATGCTGCGTAGCTTGGCTGAGGTGATAGAAATCTTGGGTTTGGGGAGCCCAAAAAGCCTGCCCCAAGCAAGCCACCATCTGGTACACACGAACAGCGCGTATCATCTCTGAGTTAGTTGGCTGAAATCTCCCGATGAGCTGGACAATCTTGTCACGTATTTCGATCGACTCGTCAGTGGGCTCAGGCTGATCATGCTGTTCCTCTGAGGCCTCAGAGTTGTCAGCCTCTTCTGGAATCTCCTCATCTAAATCAATGCCAGCAAAGCCATCAATCAGGTGTCCTGGCCCTTCCGGATGCGCTGTCTCGCCCTCCTCTTCTTCCATGGCACATTTCACAGGTCACAGGACCTGTGAATGGATGTAGATGGTGGGACTTGGAAGTGAGCAGAGAGTTCGTCTGCACGTACTACCCATTAATGCCTACTATACAGCCTACAAGAGCCTATACAGATACAGCATCTTCGAATTGACCGTTTCCCAATGCTCTGCTTTCTCGGAAGACTTGGACCGTTTCACCCTGGTCAGAGGGATGTGGCCGGTGGGTACTCCGTTGAATCGTCGTTTTGGACCACGGTGTAACCTCAGTGACCTCTATTTGGACCATGTGGGTTTTTCCAAACATGGGGGTCAAATGAGCTCTAGGCGTAGTAATAGAATGATCATATACTTTGTGGCATGGTGGCATGGTCAAAGAGAAATGCTTTCCTGGTGAGACAAATAAGATAGTGTGTTTACTTTTGCGACATGCTTTAAGAGTGACTTTTGCTTGAGTTTCTCTCAACATGTTGTACATGTTAGCTCAACTCTCTTCCATGACGCTCTTGCAACTTGTCAAATAAAACATACAGAGTTGCGGAGTGGAAGCCTTGGGAATATTACTTTTATCAACTGATTCTGCCAGCTTGACAAAGTAGCCTGCCTTCCATGTGTGCTCCACAAACTGCAACTTCAAACCTAACTGGAAGAAGGCACAAAAACGGAATCTGAGATGCATCCTTCTGTCTTGCAGATGTTGTCGCTTGTTCTTTCTACGCCTGCTTGGTCTTTCAGAATGCAAGTGCTTTTGCCACATGACTTTTCTCTGCCACCGGACGTCTCCACATCGGCGGGCAACGCTCCAAAGTGCTTGCCCTGAGTGGCCTCGCCAACGGCGGCGATCCAGTGACACAGCGAGACGCGGTTCCGGGCACCGTCGGGTTGGTTTGGCAGCGAAGTGGCACGTCGTTCCTCGTCGTTTCTGGGCAGTCCTCCACAGCTGCAGAGACATCTTGGACGGAGGACTGCAATGCTCCCACCTTGAGGCACAGAAGATTGGGTGGGTAAGGGTGGGCAAGTAATGGTGGGTGTATCATGAAACTTGGGTATGTCATGCCACGTCATGCCAAACAGGAACGAGCATCGCATGTGATCTAGATCGGATCAAGTTACTTACTAGTAATTACGTCCACTCAATTGGTCCGGGCCCCCATGCTGTGAGCTTGGAGGCTGCGTGTAGCCTGCAACACGTCAGTTGTAGCTCAAAGATATGAAGTTCGCAAGAAACAAGTTGTGGGAACTCTGTGGCTCTCATCGATCGGTTTTAGGGTTTAAGGTTCTTCAGGCGACTCTTCGACTCGCAGCGGCATGAGGGGCTCCCTCATCCCTCAATTCTCTCCATCCCTCTCCGGGGCAAACATAGCCGAAACCGGCCTCCAACACTGCCTCCAACCTACTAGCGATGGCCTCCAACCTCATGACCAAAAAGAAAACGCCTCTGGGCAATGTCGCAAATGAAGGCATCATGCCCCGCAGCGGCCGAGATGGTCACACCGAACGGCAGGCACGGCGCATCGCTCGACAGCACCGTCGGCACAGCGATGCCGCCTGGGAGGACAATCTCATGATGCCACAGCAACCGTGCTTTTTACTGATCCCTTTTGGACCCCAGCCCAGCCCCCGTTCGCCAAGCCCGAAAGCCAACAAGTCGACCGAAGATCGTTCGCTTTTCCCGCGAGCGAGTGTTCTCAATTCCGCGAGTGTTTTCATCGAGCGGCAAAGGTCCAGCAAGTTCATGTGATTCGTATATCCTCGGCGACGGTCTTGACACTTTTTCTTGAGGGACGAAGGACGTGGCCTTGTCACGAAGGACATGTTTTCGGAATGTGTGTGGAATAGTTGCACTATGTTGTACTCCAGAATACTCCGGTGAGTGAATTGTGGACAAATTGCAGCAACGTCTCTAAATAAAGAACTTCCAAGAAACGTGTTATTTTTGTTCAACGTGAACGAATTGGTTTGTCATGTTTTTCTGTTTCAATGAAACGTCCCTTCAGCCAAGCGGCGACCAAGCTGTGTGTTTAAAGCAACGGGATCTGCAAGGACGTCCTGAGGTTTCACAGAAATCATGCACTCCGCCATCGCGTCGCCATGTTGTTGGAGATCGTTTATTCCCATCCATGGCAGTGGAGAGGGGGTCCAAGTTTGGCACCCTCCGTTCGTTTGGCACCCTAAAATATTCCTGGACCTCCTGGCCGAGGCGAACAGAGATAATCACCTAATGCAGACTCTTGCTTCATAAAGCGGGGAGGGTATTAAACAGAATTGCAGTCCATTCCACACAGGCTATTTCTTGGGATAGCCGTGCGACTGAGCTCATCTCCAGAGTCGAAGGACCAATTCATGTAATCTGAATGTAATTCGCTGTTCAGAACGTTGAATTCGAAGCACCAGCACAGCAGCACCGAGACTCTTCGGGCCGCACCGACTCGGTCGCACCTCGATGGTATAGGTCGCACCGACGGTCGGAGTCACCAGCACCTGGCGTGTGCCGGTGACCGTGTGTCCGGGTGGTGAAAAGAAAAAAACCGCGGGCGGCCTGTGGATGGTGCATGGTCCTGGAACGAAGCAATAGTTTATAAACCATTCATGAACACAAACAACTATACCACTACCATAATTAGGGTTAATGATGTTTTGTGGATGTTTGTGGATGACAAATGTCAGGCTTGTTCCCTCCAAATCATTCTAACTCGGACGAAGCCATATTCGGAGACCTCGCCCGGTCTGTGGCACAGACCGAGTCACGACAGCTTCGGAGGGCTATAGCTGACATGTGTTGAGCCCACAGCACTCACAGGGAGAATAGTTTTAGCCTGGAGGATCTTCACCAATCTAGGTGGTTTTGGGTATTTGGAGGTTCTTTGTGACTCTCAACCCAAATGAATCTTCATTATCTTTGATTGTATCTCTGATTCAAGTATACAGTCACCGTCTTCCGATGTCGGCTGACCCGACCGCTGCATGGAAAGACATGACAAATACATGAAACAGAATGGTCCAAAAAACAACACGAGATGGTTAAAAGAAAAAGGATCGAACATTAAAGAAGGACATGAATGCTGAATAGAATCTCACTCTTCCATGTCCTTCTTGATGTTCCTTTCTTGGCCATTGGGCGAAAGACCCCAACCCCCCACCGACAGCTTTTGTTTCCTCGCTCACTTCGCCTCCGCCTGGGTGCTGCTCATGGCTTCTTGTGCCTCGATCCGTAGCTGCTGCAACCGGTAGATGGCCTCGAAGCACCTGGGGAAAACCATTGGGATTCGATGTGTCGATACGATGTTTCGACTCAATGCGATGAGTTCTGCGAAGTCGAATTGAAGCAAGGTTTACATGCAATAACCGCGTCCTTCTGCTCCTTTGGAGGTTCCTACCCAACAACTTCCCTCACCACGCGGATCTACACGGAAGACCACAGTAATACAGTAACCACAAAATATATGGCTAGGCTATATCATGCTTTATAGTGCTATATAGTTTTTGTTGACAAGTCATTAATTTAATATATCAAAGAAAGAGTCTGTTCTGAACATGCGGGACATCCCCAACAAATCAACCAATCACTAATCAGTTTCACTGGAGCATTATTGCTTCCAGGTCAGCAAGGCTCCGGGGATCCTCACTGCTGTGCTGACCATTCAGTTCCATGTTCAGCAATCTTTCTGACCTCTCACAGCGGTCCCGTGGAAGGAGGATCACAGAAAGAAAACAAACACATTATGCAGTCATTTGAACAAGGAAAAGCAGGAATCTGTTGAGCAAGTCGAGCAGCATTCCAAAGACCCCTGCCTCTACTTGAAAAACAGGGCAGAAGAAAGGTTTATAAAGGAACTCTTCAAACACTATGTTGATCTAATTTGAAGAGCCTTTAAGGGGTCAGTATCAACTGCCCACTTCGTCTTCGCAGTCTTTCTTTCCAGCAACCCTCTAGTCAGACCCTCAGCGCTCCCGTTCGAGGCTCCCGCGATGGGGTGCACCACCTCGCAGTGAAAAATCGGACGCTTCACGCTTCGCTTGCAACGCGCGGACCTGCTGCACACTTCATGCGGACCGTGCTTCACACAACGAAGAAACGCGTGGACATGTACAGTGATGCGATATGAGGCGTTTTTCCATCCACTCTCGGAAGCAGTTCTTGAGGTTTGATCTGCTCTCTTCTGGAAAACGGGGTCGACGGAAAGGAACTGCCGGTCGGTCAGGTGATCCGCGGTGGCTGCTTCTTCTGCTTCTTCTGCTTCGATGACTTCGGTTCACCGTCTTCAGTGACAGACGTCGCTTCTAGGTCCGTTTCCACCGTCTTCCGTCCGACGATCGTCGTGATGCCCGAGGTCTTCGGCCTCTGGATCTGATGCCCAATCTGCCACAGAGGAAAGTCTCTCCGCGACCCAAGGGCCCTGGTAGAGAAGATTTGCTGCCTGGAAGTGATGCCCGTGTGGAAGGTTCAGAACCCCAAAGAATGCAATGAATATCAATGAACTTTGTGGTAGATGTGTCTCAACTCTATCAACCACCAAACAATGAGTATCGCCTGATTGTTCAACCACTCAGAACACAACCCACACACACACACACTCTACAGCTGGAGAACAGCACTGATTGAGTGTTGTTTCGGCAATTTGCCTCTTGGAATGGCGCGTAATCCACTTCCACACAGGTTCCTCCAATGGCTTTCAGGGCATCCACCGACCTGCGGCCACACACCGCGGCTCGGCTGTGCTGCACGGTGCGCATCAAAGACGAAGACCAGATTCCACAGAGATCCCACAGAGATCTTGTATTGGGTTCGATTGGTTCAAATCTGAAAAAAATATTGTCTTTTCTTGCAAGCCCACTTGCCCTGTCACTGCGTACTTTCAATGTGCCTTTCCCAAGCTTCGGAATAGAGTGCCGCACGAGCCTTGCGGGGGCAAGACGACTGCAGTCTGCGGGCCATGGCGGCAATGACTATCCCATTCGCCTCTGTCTTCGTTCGAACTCTGTCTGTCTCGTCTGTCTTCGTTCACTGCACAGGCGCCTGGGAAGCAGCTCCAAAGCTGTGGAAATCCAGGAAGGGCTGGCTCGGAATGCCGAACCTGATGTGCAGCAACTTCCAAGGAACATGATGTAAAAAGATTAATCGTTTAGTTCATTCGAGGCAATTCAGATATGCTATATGAGATATCATGATAGTGTGTCATTGTGCAGTTGCATTCAAAGACAGTAAAGGTACTCTCCATGACCTTGCCTAAAGCTTGCCTTGCCAGAAGGTGGCAGCCGTGGCCCTTGCTTCAAGTCCTGGCCATTGGATGCCATTGGTCGAAATCGATGCCAAACATATGCAGTGATTTCAATCTGTTGTTCAATCCAACTTATCCCCCCCGCTTCAGACTTCTTTCATCTTCTTAACCAGGCCACCCTGCCCGCTTAGGCGCCAAGGCCCACTGTCCAAGTCTCCCACGGTCCCGTCGACCCTTCCGTCCTTGGCAGGTCGATCCCAAGGGTCTGCGCCGCTCGCAGCGGCCGCCAGTTCCCAAAGGCGTCGTGCCTGACGCGGCGTTTGTCGCGTCGCGTCGCGGCGTGGGTTCCCCACCCACCACGAGGGCACACGGGCGGAGGCCGATGGAGTGATGTCCGGGTGTTATGGGTGGAAGGTGTCGTTGGATGGGAGAGCTTTGGGTCTGGAGGTGCCCCCTGGGCCAACCATGGTTGGGTTGGCCAACCGAAGACTGACATGACGTCAGTCTTAAGGACTTGCTGAAGACAAGGATTCGTTAAACTGGAGCTGTCACCCTTTTGAACGTGGGTATGAAACATGTTTCAAAGATGGTTTGGGGGGTCCAGGCACTTCTGTGCCCTCGACGTTCATATGCGGCATCATCTGACCCTTCGCTTTTTGCAGATGCGCTGAAATTCGTCTGCGCAATGGGCACTGGATCTGTACCTGATTTGGCTTTGTCTCAACAAAAACTATGCTCCTCACATGCCAATACAAATACGCCTTGTATCGAAAACGTACGCCAATCACATCACAACACAGAAAACTGCGGGCCACAAAAGAGTTGGGCCGAAGAACCACCAAGAAACACCAACAGCCATCGTTTTTTTTAGCGACCGAAGCGGGCCATCGGCTCGGTCAAGCCCCCCCCCAAAAAAAAACAAAAAGAAAAAGACACCAGTTACTCCAGGACGGTTCAAAGCATGTTGTAGTTGGACCAGTTACTCCAGGACGTCCAAGACTCTTTCAGAAGCCTCAACTCCAGTTCCGCGAGGCTCGCAGGCTTTCTGGCTTGCCGCGCCGCGTTGCCGCGGGTCAACCGGAGGGGACGTCATGGTTTAGTTTCCTTTCATGAATGGTTTCCTTTTTGTACATCTGTAAAAAGAAGAACATCATGTTCATCCTTTTCCAATTTAAATCAAGTGTCTGTTTCCGTTTGGATGCGACTGTCCCCAAAACGATGTCCAAAACGATGAGTCTCGTCGTCCAAAGTCGTACATTCAAAGGAGCAACATCCATTGGACACCTAGGAGGTGGATGGAGGTGGAACCATTATGGACTATTGTTGGACACCATTATGGACCACAAGTGGACACCATCTAACACCATTGTATGTTCATGTTTTCCGTATTCTATAAGCTAGTGAGGGACACCACTGTTGTTTTTCTTTTGAGGAACAAATGTTCCGTGAGTTTGGCTCAGGTCTTGACAGGTGTTTAAGCAATCATTTCGAGCAACATTGTTTGATCTTTTTTGCCATTGGAACCATCTCACCTGTAGCCGGCTTCCCAAAAAATGCTATGTGCCAATGATTGCAGCACGGGATGAAAGGCAGCGCCCATGATCAGCAGCCCGTGCTTCACGCGAAAGTTGATTCCAGTGTCCCAAATCTGGAAGCTGGACCAGGCCGTGGAGCTCAATACAGCCGAGAGCCAACGTGGAGGCTCCAGGGACCACGGCACAAAAACACCGCCAAAGTAGGCCAAAAGCCTCATCTAGACGTGCCAAGTGAGGTGTTTTGGTCTTAGACGGGTCTTAGGTGTTTTGATCAGTTTACAAACGGTATATCAAACACCGAACTTGGAACTTTTGGAACGAAGACCTTCTGCATTGTTCTATTTGATGTGTTTCTTTTGGGCTTTAGATCCTGTTGTTTTGCTGTCTTGATTTTCTGTTGGTCTTTTGTGTAAGTTTCCGTCTATAAACATCCAAACCTCTTGTACGGTCCGTCGTTTCAGCTCAACCAACGGGACGGGCTGCGCATCGTCACAACGTGTCTCCGAAAAAGATAGGAATGGCCTCCAACCTAGTAGCCATGGCCTCCAACCTAATTACTATAATTACTATAGCGATGGCCTCCAACTTACTGGCGACGGCCTCCACCCTAGTAGCGATGGCCTCCAACTAACCTATATGGAAAAAATATGAAAAAAAAAGATCGAGAGTCTCTCCAAGGGGCTGATACTTGGCAGCGAAGACCGGTACCGCCTCGTTGCCACCCACCTGAGTTCAATGGCCACTGAGTTCAAGACCCTGCAGGGAGATCGTCGCTCAGTGATTGGGTTGCAAGGGAGATTGTCGGATGGTTCGTGTTGCTTTGTGGAATCAACATATTGAGCGAACAATAGGCATGTGTCTTGCTAGTAGCGAAAAATCCTGAAGTACCGTTGCGGCACTCGGAATATTGCAGGAAGTCTAGAAGTTCTATGAAAGCATGCAGTACCGCCTCAAAGCCCGAGTATATCATCCTTCCAATCGAAACATGAATTCAACTAGAGCAAAACATCGAAGCAGTGCACTCAAAATGCTGACCTGCGGTGGGCCCTTGGCCAGGCGTCTTCCCTTTCGTGCTTCTTTCACCCTTGTCCATCCACCAGAACTCAAAACCCCCCCCCACCAACCTTTCACATCACCCCCGTCGCTCGAGATCGAACTCGTACCTGTCGCTCGTACCAAACGCCGCCAGGCACACTTGCCCACCTTCGAACTCACTTCGCACCGTGCCCAGGCACATCGGCTGTGAGGATCATGGGCCACTCGTCGGGTAAGCTCGCGAGCGCTTCGACCAGGCGTGAGGGACTCCACACTCTTAGGCGCCAGCCCGGCAGGGTGGCACGCCAGCGGTGCAACGTCTGCTCCAAGTCCACCTCAGTCTGAGGCTGAGCGTGTTTCACCGGGAAAGCGAAAACAAAGCCAATCATAGTATGATAGGGAGAAAACCTTGAAAGTAAGTTTGAAACTCAAATGGAATGGGCCAGTCGGTCTCTCCAAGTTGGGTATATTAGTATATATCCCATTACCAGTAACCGTGGAAGATGCTGGGTAAAGGCCTTTGAAAAAGAATATATACAGTTATACAATACATTAAAAGAACACAAAAACACATCCTATCTCGAACAACAAACTTTTTGTGTGATAAAAGTCTCTTCTGTGGCTTCGCAAGCAAAAGGATCGCTGAAGAAGCAAGGCAGGAGCCTCAATTCTGCAACCCAAACATCAGAATCTTGCAACTTCACAATCTTCATACAGCTTCACACAACAGCCACGTTTCTTTTTTCAAAAGGTAGTGTGGAATCTTCGGAATGGTGTGGAAATCACACTTGGTTGTGAGTCAAATCATTTGACCCACCCAGGGTGCCCGGGGTTTGACCCCGAAATGCAGCTGTAGGAGCATGTGAAGGATCTGTGGCGCTGGAGGTATCATGTCTGGCAAAGGTCTCGCCAAGTGTCTGGCATCCGTAGGAGGTTCATGAACCATGCGCGCCACGCCTGCTTCCAAAGGATCTCGAATGCCTGGTCGATTTGAGAACACCCCCGGAGCTTGGCACAGCTTAGTAGAACCTCCTAGCATATCTACAACTAGCAAAGTACCAAGTTAAGGCGCTAATCATCCGATAGCCAAGCCTTTCCAAGGCAGTCCAAACGTCAATGGTCTTTGAGCTTTTCAGAAAATGATTCACTTCAAATTCGATGCCATCAGCCCAGCATGGGGGGTGCTCCCACAGGTACTTCACATAGGCTCTCAAGAGAAGCTCGTCCATGCCCTCTGCATCAATCTTCAAGAAGCCCAGTCGGCAAGCCTGGTGCAAGTCCAGCAACTTGCCTGAGGAAGAGCCGAAACAGTGGAAGACACATCTGACTTGGAATGCAAACCACAAACGACACTGCTCGCTGCTGCTATGTTCGGACCGAAGACGTCTCCAAGACATCGGACCGAGACGCACAGCTTCACCTCTGCGACCATTTTTTGGGGGGAGGAACCCTCTTTCTCTCTGTGAAGGATGGTCCTCTGACACCTGTGAAGACCACTTCGAGTTTGGATCAAAAGCTATCAAAAAGCAGCCACGCACAGCCGAATCTGCCGAATCTGAATCCTTTTGGCACCATCTCGTCCGGTCCCCTCCCCATCTCGGCCCACGTATGAATGAAGAATCTTCGCGTCCCGGTGGCCGAGCGTAAGGGCAGGGACTTGTCGAGAGACCAACAAATGCGCCAGGCCCAACTTCTTCAGGTGCTCCAAGACCCCCCAATGCGGCTCAGGACCAATGCGGGTGGTACCAGCCATGTGCCTTGGTTTCAATTGAAACAGAAGAATGGATGAGAAACGCACAGCAAAGGCAAAGAACAAAAAAAGCAACGTTGTTCAGTCGAAGTTCTTGGTCTGAGATGGTCTGAGTTTAAATGCTTCAATGCTTGCTTTGAACAATGCTTACTTGACGTGCGGTTACTTCTTACGAAGGAACTTTCAATCTGAAAACGTCCCAGAAACACAGTAGTTTCCAATTGCCGGAGATTCCCGATCTATCTGTATATATTATGTACCCTGAAAAAGGTCTCCAACAAATCTAATGTATGTGTATATACACAATCGTAGAATATAGAGTCTATATATAAAATCTTATATAATATCTACAATGATCTGTATAGATATTCTGTCAGCCACATCATGGGATGATCGTCCTGATCGGTCGAGATGCGCTGGAAGCCCATAGGTAGAGAGGTTTTCTGGATGCACGAACCAGGCCGTCGCACGATAGTTGGTCGCCTCTGGCAGTAGCGCTGCATTGACGAGGGTCACTCTTGGATGGCTTTCATTGTAGCGCTGCCTCAGGGGAATGCATTCATCATGATCATATGATTAACTTATGATTACATAATATATATTATATACAGTATATATATATATATTATATATATATGATCATGTACGTCTTTTGAGGCTAAGACTGATCTTGCCATTCACCTCATATCCTAATCCAATTTCCAACATCTCAAACCACTGGAGGTTGAAAAGAGCAAAGCTGCCATGGCTCACGTCCTTCGGCCGGCCTCAGCTCTTCCACATAGTATGGCAAAGCCTCTACGCTCATGCCGCTTTGCTCGGGTGGTTGATGACCCACCAGGGTTCGAAAGTTGGAAGTCCCAATCTCCAAGAAGTGAAGGTAGCCTGGACCCCCAGGCTGTTTGGGGCGACGGACAACCAGCCAAGACCAAGACCAACGATCCGACACCCAAACGGTGCGACACGGTGCGACACGAGACATCTGAAGCAGACTCAAAGCTTCGACATGTTGGTTGGAGGGGTTGAAGATGTTTGAAGGGTGCTTCAAAATGGTGCAAGCAACTGCAAGCAACTGCAAGTCATGCTCCCTTAAAGCATAGTATAAATGTGTAAGTCCGCCAAACACACAGGAAGTGCTAGCAGCGCCCAGCAACCCATTCCTTTGCCACTTTGCACACCGCAGGGCACAGAGCGCCATGGGAAGCGCAAAAGGAAGAGGTCCACTTGACCGTCTTGTTTCCACTTGCCACTGCGCTCTTTCTATCAAGACAAGGTTTTATCAGAAGAAAAGAACTTCGCTTCATTCCCCCAAATCGTGGATTTTCTGCAATTTGCCCAAAGAACCAATGCCAACAACAAGAAAACAGGAGTTGAAGATAGCTGAAGTCTTGATTCTGCCAGATGTTGCTCAAGTCTGCCTGCAGTTCTGCTCTTGAGATTGCTCTAGATTGCTCCATGTTGCTCCAGTTCCACCTGACCTTCCGGGAAGAAGAACACCTCCCACAGGCTGAACGAACGCGTGTTCTCCGCGTGCCTCTTGGACGGTCAAGGAGAAGATCGACACACAGTCCTTGGGGGCCGAGGATCCCCCGGCAGGATTCCAGCGGCTCTTGTAGGGCCATTTTGGGGGGGGCAAACATCGACAAGTCGTAGACAAGTCATCTGTGGATTTGGCTGGTCTTCATTTGTTTTGAGCCACACCCATATGACATCATATAACATCATTATGCCATATGACGGAGATCTGATTCGCAACCTGTGTCAGCTTAGGCTCAAGTGACTTGCAAGCAGGCAACAGCCCATGGGTGGACAAAAGCCCACGGGATGCCTACACAAAGAATCACTGCCACAGATCAGTGAAAGTGTTGAGGACATCTGCTCTGGATTTCTCGCCGCAACGGCGCATTGACCGACAAGCATGGGTGTTCACAAAAACCTCCATGTGTTCATCCCGTTAGGGAATGGCTTCGAACCCGGAAAACCGACACGTTGCATGGGTCCATTATGGTCTAACCCACCTTGAGACCGACGATGTTGTTCAAAGCCGCTGGCACTCGGCCGCTGCCAGCAGTATCCGTGCCCAGGGAGAAGGTGACCTCCACGGTGGGCGTTGTGGAGCAGACGAAGGGAGAGAGAACATGTGGAACGAAGACATGAGAAGAACGAAACTCAATTCATATGCAGATTTGTTTCTATGGTGTCTCATCATGAGTTATGATGAACGCGTATGAACCCGTACTTTGGAACGAAATTTAAAAGTCAAGCCACAAACGCCACATTTAGCTCTGTTTTTCTCAACCTGTTAAGCATCTTTTCTGCGCACGAAAACCCACCTGGCCCAAGGCCACCGCGACACCGGAGCCGGAGGAAGAACCACCCGACAGAAAGGAGCGATCCTGGGAACCGAGTGGTGGGCTCTGGGCTGTCGAGTCATGTTCCAGAGAAGCAACCGGGGTTAGCTGTGCAGGGGCAACCGCAACGCGCAGACCAAGCGCCGGGCGAGCGCGTTCTGACAAGCGCCATACGGTGATCGAACCTGAAGGTCCCGTCGCGTAGGGGAGTCGCGCGGCGCCTGGTCAGTGGACGGATATGGGAATGGAAGACAGACAGAAGTCTATGAACTGTGCCAAATGAACAGGAGATGTGCCAAATGAATGGTGCTATCAACTTAAACATCCAGCAGTCACGACAAAGGGGTGCTTAATGCAGGTTAGGGGTGCCCAACTGGGTGCCCAGCTACTCCACTCAGTGGATGGGACTAAAAACCCACACCTTTGTGACCCCTGGATAAGAGTCTATGACAGTCTATGATGTCTCCAAATCACTTTGGCTCCGTTTTCGGACGCCCTCCTCGGACGCCCTCCTTGGCTCCCGGCGCCCACCAAGCCTAGCCAAACAGCGGCTGAAAAGCGGCCGAAACGCTCGGTCCACGCGTCCGGACTCCGCTCAACGTGGCGCCCACCGGCGGAAACCGACGTCGCTTCGCTGTCGACGTCGAACAAAAGCGGTTTGGCCTGTGGCAGCACCTGGCAGAGACGGGGGGGGAAAAGGGCACTGGCGGGGGGGCAGGAGCAGGCGCAGTGATGATGGGTGGTGGATTTGGGGTGCCCGGCCCCTAGGTTGATCATTCTTGGGGGAAAAAAAGAACGTTGAAAAACCAGGGTACCCCGGTCAGAAAACCTACAGCCGCATGGTTTGGCTGTTACAGTTGCTGTCACATCTGTTAAGGCTCTGACAGTCGAGGTTGGTCTTACCCACCACAATGGCACCTGCATCCTACAGCAGTGCGCCGCGTGCTGTCGCCGCGTGCGCGAGCGGCTTGTTTCATGAAACATGTGAGCGGTTTTGCATGGTTTATAATTATAGCATATAGCTGGGACTGCGCGGTATTGCACGGGATAGTCCACTGCTCCTCTCCTGAAGCTTCTGCACCACCGCAGCACCTCATAAAAGCAAATCAAACACTCAGTGCACAACTCCTCAACTCCTTTGGAACATATGGGTGATCAATGATCAATGGGGCTCAGCATGAAACCGGCTCAGCGTCATTCTTTTTGCTGCCATACGCGCATCGAACGGGTCTGTGGAAGGTCCGATGGTCTGACCAGCTCACATCCCCAAGACGGTGTTTGTTTTCGTCGTTCAACAGCTAACCATCACTTGGGAAGACTGAGCCCGGCTTGCGTTGGACGGGACGTTGTGCGACTGTGGTCTTTTTGGGGCTCATCACAGCCCCTCTTAGCCCGCCGCTTTCATGTGCCAGCGGGGGACGCCTTGGAGCATCCAAACGATGCGTCGGAAGCCAGGACGGATTTTTCCGCCTCCAACAACATGTTAATTAGACATTGGAACTATCAAGGAACTAATTTGAACAAAGAAAAAGAAAGACATGGGAACATGTTGTCCACATCTCTCGTTCGAAACAACACCTATCAATTAGTGTGGTGTCTTTGCATCAAGAAGTGCGCAGACCGTGCACAGACCGCAGCGGTCCGCGCTGTGGTCTGAACGTGCCACGTGCCTGGGGGCTCGATAGTCCATGGCATTGGTGGTTGGAAGACCCTTCACCTGGCAGCTGGGCGTAATTGATGTCGGTCCATGGGAGGACACAGGGATTTCGTCAACACCTGGTGTTGGGTCCCCGCGACGGAAAACACGCCAACGACTCCATCAAGTTGTCTTTCACAGCGAAGGTGGAACCCAAAAGGGGAAGTTCTCGCTGTCTTTCCTCCTGGGCAGTCATTGGTACTTCACCTGTCATACCCCTTCCTGCTAACCACCAGCAAATCGATTCGAGATATGCTCATTGCCATGGTGCGTGAAAGCCTATTCCAAAATTGTAATTTTTGCGTGGCTCCTCGGTCATCGAAGAGGCTCGAGTCTCCAAAGTTTTTGCCTCTGCAAGGACCTGCGGACGGACGCAGTAAACAAACAACATATAGGCTCGGTGTGGTGTGTGTGTGTGTGGCACATCCCCCCGTCCAGCAGATGATCTGTTTCATGGTCCATTGATTTGTCATGATTTGTCTACCAGCCAACTTCAAGCTGTCCTGCGCTGTATCCACTGCTTGATCAGTGGAATGTGTGACGATCTCGCGAAGAATTCGGAGTGATTGGTTGAGGTAGTACTATATGGCAGTATGGAGCAACTATCCGCCGACCCCGCCGTAGCGAGGGGGAGCGCGCCAGGGATTACGGGTAGCTGTTTGGGGCGTGGGGGTAGCTAAGTTTGAAGAATCGAGGTTCGTTGAATCGAGGCGCAAGAATAAATGGAAGAAAAGTCCTTTTTGTTATAGGGATTCAGAGGGGGCGTGTGGGAGCGAAAGTGCGAGGAAGAGGCTCGTTTGGGGCCAAAACTAGATAGGGGAAAGCCGTGGGGCTAAAACTAGATGGGGAAAAGCCGTGGCGGCGCCAGGTGTTCGGGGCCAGG